GGGGCATGCAAACCCTCTGATTACAGATAACAATGTACGTCATGAGAAGGGGTTGTAACATAGGCAATACAAGCAATAGGTGGGGGATAACCTAGGGGTGTACGTGCAATAGTTCAGGGATGGAATAGGGGTACATATGTGGCAGGATGGGTGAACCCTAGACTCAATATAGTGGCCTAAGCTTAGTCATCCTTGAGTGGTCCCAGGCTTGCCTTTGGGCTCTCTTTCAAGGGAACAATATCAGAAGGGAGTGGGCCCTACTTAGAATGAGTCAGACTGTACAGTCTGGTTGCTCTAGATACCCTTAAGTAGGATAACCTCTGACCTACATCCAGTGACCTAGTGTACAGCCATTTACCATGTGTAGCAAGCAGTGTCTTGGGTTTGGCATATATTTGGGGGAGACAACTTGGGAGAAATATTTATTTCCCACAAATGTTTTTAGATGCAAGTGGGAAATGAGTTTCGGAATCTTCTATTCTCCTCTCAGCCTCCAGAAAACCGTGCAAGAAAGAGACGGGTGGAGTGCGGTGGGGTGAGGGTGAGTGTGGGCGAGATGAGGAAGGGGTAGGTAAAGGGGGGTGAGGAGAAATACACACAGAAAAAGGAAGCCTCTGGGGGAGAAAGGGGGAATAGATTACAAGAATCAACCTGTAACTCCCTCTCAGGGGGATGAACAATGGAAAAGTGGGTGAGGGGCGACGGAGGATGATGTAAGATATGAAAATAATAATCTATAACTTAAGGGTTCGTGAGGGAGGGAGGGTGTTCGAGGGAGGGGGAAGAAATGGGGCGCTGATATCAGGGGTTCAAGTGGGAAGAGAATGCTTTGAAAATGACGATGGCAGCATATGTGCAAATGTGCTTGACACACTGGATGAGTGTATGGATTGCGATAAGAGATGTAAGAGCCCCCAATAAAAGTATTTTAAAAAATGGTTAGAGAGCAAATGTTTTGAGATTGATGAGGGCAACAAATGTATATATGTGCTTGACTCAATGGATGTATGTATGGACTGTGATAAGAATTGTACGAGCCCTCAATAAAATAATTATTTTTAAGTATTAAAAAAAAGAAAGAAAATGATGGCAGCATACGTGCAAATGTGCTTGACACACTGGATGAATATATGCATTGTGATAAGAGATGTAAGAAAAAAAAGAGAGAGATGTAAGAGCCCCCAATAAAAATATTTAATAAAAAAATGAAAATAAAGTAAATAAATTTTTTTTTAAAGGAAGCCTCGCGAGATCTCCGGCGCGCCTGCGCGGGACGGCTGTCGGAAGGGGTGGGGACCCTTCTTTGAGGGTCATTTTGGCCTCCGTGTCCGTGGGAGGCGTCCGCTCTTTGTTCTTAGCAGCTTCTTCCCACTCCCCGCCCGGGACGCTTTCTTTCCTCGGGTGTTTCAGCGAAGGGACAAGAGGGAATAAAGGCGGAGCAGCAGACGGTGAGGGGGCGCTCCGCGGGCCTTTGGGGGTGCGGCGGGGGGGAGCGAGCCGTGGGGGAGGGGTTGGCGCGGAGGCCGCGAGCCGACCGCACAGGCCTGGTGACGTCGCGCGGTCACGTGCGCGTGGACGGAGGCGGCGGGCCCGGCCCCCCACCCTCGGTGATCGGCCAAGTGCAAGCCACGCGGCGCGGCCCCCGCCAGACATTCAGCCCTTCCGTGAAGGTTTCCTGCGTGCGGGCTAGGGGAAGACGCCCCGCGTTCGGGGGAGCCGGTGTTGGGGGGGGGCCGGACAGGGGGACCCGTGAGGGGCGCCCCCGCCCCCGGGGCTGACCTGCTACTTCCATGCCGCAGGGCTGATCGCTGCAGAAGCCGACCGCTTGTGCCCCGTGGGAGTGAATGCAGAACCGATTCTGTCCCTGTGCTGCTGTGGGTACGGTATTCAAATGTGTTTTTTTAAATGTTTAACAAAAAACGAGTAGGTATGCTTGAACTAATCGATCGATCGATGATGATAGGTATAGATAAACGAGTCGATGCCTAGGTCCTGTTGAACACCTTTAAAAAAGGCAAACCATGCGTTTTGGTAGTAGGTGTTGTAAGCTCACTCACTACCTGACAGGTAAGTTAGTGTGAGCAGGTTCGAAAGGAGAAAGACAAGTGGCTTTCTACTCCTGTGAAAAGTTCCAGCGGAGGAAACCCCTAGGGGCAATTTACTGTGCCCTAAAGGGTCACGATGAGTCAGAATTGACTTAAGGGCAGTGAGTTTTTTGTTTGTTGGTTTTTGGAGTAGGTTGGAATGAACAGGGTGGGGTGGGGTGCTGGTGGTGCTGTGGATTTAGCCTTTGACTGGGAACCACAGTTCAAACTCATCAGCCACTCCAGGGAGGAAAGATGAGGCTGCTTGCTCTGTAAAGACTGACAGTCCCAGACAATCCGAAGTGGTTCAGCGCTGCCCCATTGTAGGCACTAAGTGGCATGGTTTTGTTTTTTGTGGGGTTAGGGATGGGGTGGCTTTTTGTATTCCTGTTCTGTTGTGTGGCCTCTGCCTTCCCTTATTTTATTTTTATTTTTTTGGAAAACTGAGGATGATGAAGATACTATAAATCCCATTTGGGTTGTATTTAATATCAAATGAAATAGCATTTATAAAGCACAGGGAATAGGGTGTGCTGCTTGCTCACAGCCCCACCCTCACAGACTCAAGCTGGGCACCCACACAGAATTTCTTGAAAGGCTTTCATCTGCGCCTCATCCTGGATTAGCGTCTGAGCGTTCTAAAAATACGGAGTAGAAAGCTTAACAGTAACAGTTGAGTCCTTAAAACAGCTGGTTCCCAATAAATAACAGATCCAGGTGAATTTATTTAAGCAAGCCGGAAATGGGATGGAATTCTTTAGAGAGAGCTTTTAAAGGGATTGATTGACCAAAATGACTTATGACAAAACTTTGTAGAGAATGTTTGGATTGACTTCCAGTATTATATAAGGAAAGATCTTGAAAAATTTGAAAAAGACATAAAAAATTATGCATGATTTTCTTTCTTTTCTCCTGAAGTCAACTTACACTAACATGTTATACATTTTTGAACAGGGTCTAGTTTGAGGCCATAAGAAGGATAAAGCATCACTTTTTCAAAAGCCCCTGTCCGCAACATGAATTCTGCTAAAATTGAAATAAGAACAAATATCAAATTTATGGTGAAGCTTGGGTGGAAGAATGGTGAAATCATTGAGGCTTTACGCAAAGTCTATGGGGACAATGCCCCCAAGAAGTCAGCAGTCTACAAATGGATAACCCGTTTTAAGAATGGGCGAGATGATGTTGAAGACGAAGCCCGCAGTGGCAGGCCATCCACATCAATTTGTGAGGAAAAAATCCACCTTGTCCGCGCCCTAATTGAAGAGGACCGGCAACTGACAGCAGAAACAATAGCCAACACCATAGACATCTCCATTGGTTCAGCTTACACCATTCTGACCGAAAAACTCAAGTTGAGCAAACTTTCCACTCTCTGGGTGCCCAAACTACTGCGCCCAGATCAGCTGCAGACCAGAGCAGAGCTTTCAACGGAAATTTTAAACAAGTGGGACCAAGATCCGGAAGGATTTCTCCGAAGAATTGTGGCAGGAGAGGAAGCCTGGATTTTTCCATACAATCCGTAAGACAAAGCACAATCAAAGCAGTGGCTACTAAGAGGTGGACATGGTCCAGACAAAGCAAAAACTGACGAGTCAAAAGCAAAGGTCATGGCAGCTGTTTTATTTTTTTGCTAAAGGCATTTGTTTTTTTGACTTTTTGGAGGACCAAAGAAAGAACATGTGCTTATTGGGTGCGTTTTGAGAAAGATAGCCAAAGCTTTTTAACAAGAAAAGGCCCAGGAAAACTTCACCAGAGAACTCTTCGTGACAATGCTTCTTTCTACTCATTCTCCTCATCTAACAAGGGCAAATGTTCTTGAATTTCCATGGGAAGTAATTTGCCATCAACTTCACAGTCTTGATTTTGCTCTTTTTTGTTTCCCAGTCTTAAAAGAACACCCATTTTTCTTAGTTAATAATGTTTTTTTTTTTTTAAAAGGCTGCATTAACATGGTTAAATTCCCAGGACTCTCAGTTCTTTAGGGATGGACTAAATAACTTGTATTACTTTTAAAAGTTCTTGAACTTGATGAAGAACTTGAACTTATCTTGAGAAATAAATGTATCTTTTTTTAATTCCGTCTTTCTTTGAACTTTCTGAAATCCCTTTATATGTAAGTATGATCTAAAAGTTATTTGATTTTTCTTTTTCCTTAACTATGGGCTCAGTAGTCATAATTTAATGAAGACTTCAGACTTTGAAGTTATGAGAGTAAATTTATTGAAAGGAAGTAATATGTACACAACAGTGACCTTTCTCTCATAACATATATTGAGCAATGACTATTCCAGGCCTTCGGCTAAGTTTTGGAAACACAGAGTCATTTGTAAGGCAGTTTTTGTCCGCAAAGCTGTGGAAAATTTAAAAGGTCAAAGAATAACTTTGGGTCATGGAGTTCAAAATTTTCGACTTTGAAAATCTGACTAAGAATACTTGGAATTTTTATGAGACTGCTCATAATGAGAAGTGGAAACTATTTGCAGAGCCTCAGACAGACATTGAAAATGATTATAGAAGGCAAAGCTAAATTAATCATACTTGTCAACATCTGCCTTGCCTTAGGGGAAATCAAATCACATCTCTGGCATGCTGTGTGGACTAATTGTAAATGTCACACATGAGGACAACCATAAGATGGATTCAAAAGCACTTTGTAACAATTCGCATCTGTATTTCCAGGGTAAAATGTGAGTTTTACCTTGAGTTTTGTTTTTCAATTGGTTTGTAACTTGTTTCATGGTAGTTGTATTCTATGCCAGAAATGTAAGAAAGGAGAAAAACCAAAGGTACTTACCTAGGAAATAAAATTAAGTAGTAAAGTCTATAAAACATTGGTAGACATTAGAAAATTGTCAGGAAAAATCTTAATATTTTCAGCACCTGCTCTGTGGCACATCTTCACCGGCTGAGGTCAGGGACCACCGTGTCCTGTTGTATTTACGGTTAAGTTCACAAGCATATTAGAATGGTGCCTTGCCCATGGCAGCATCTTCATAAGTGGTAGCGCTTGCTATTAATGCTGGATACATGTAGTGAATGAAAATGTATGTAGTTCTCACTATGAGGTAGGAATTAATACTGTCATGCTTTGTCCACTATATATGTGGGTGTATATGTGTAGCGAAAACGTGTATGTTTTTGCCACAGTCAAAATCTGTTGACTTCAGAAGCATCTTCTTGAAACCGTTGCCCCTTGCTGCTGAGCACAGCAAGCACCTGCTTGGTGGAATCTTCTTCAGAAAGGGTACAGTGTAAAGAATTGTGAGAAAAGTTTGAGTTGAAGACAAACACTGGTCAACAATAATGTAAAAATCTGAAGTATCTTGATTATCCCCAATTCTTTGGGCTACATTTCTTGGCCAAATGCATTGCCCCACACAGCTTCCAAACACATTTATTTTACTTGTCTTGTAAATACTATCTTTTTTTTTTAATACTATCATTTTTAAAAGATGATTTCCCATGTCTGTCATGTATGAGTCACAGTCCACTCAGTGGCAGTGAGTTGTTGTTTTTTTTGAATCATCTAGTTATCTATGTGATTGCTGAAATTCATACGACTCCAACCCCTGGTTTCTGCCTGAAAGGGATACAGAGAGTCCATGAGACAGGCAGATAATCAAGGGTATTGCCAAGCAGTTGTACCGAACGCATTACTTTGTTGAAGTGTTTAGAGCTTACTTTTAATAGCTGTTCACTTAAAGGATACACAAGTGGTTGGTAAATAAGTAAAGATGCTTCACTCCTTTGCATGGTAGATAAATCATCTTGAGATACCATTTTCACCTGTCAGACTAGCCAAATAAAGTTTCCCAAAATGCTCTGGTGATGAAATGGACCTTCTTAAGACATTCACTTTAGGAAAGAAGTGAATTGACCCAGTTTCTATGGAACACCATTTGGCAGTATCTATCAAAGGTACAGAGCCCATTCCTTTTGATGGAGCACTGCCAGGATTTTTAGCCAACCACTCTGCATATGCACAGAGGATTTCTAGGAGTGACTTGTTGCTATGGTGAAGTTTCTAAAAGGAATGGCAATGATTAAATTGTATAACATGTGAAGTATATCCCAATGTTTTTTAAAAGTGGCATATCCACTCAAAAAGCTACGGTTTTACAGGAGGAAGCTCGTGATGTGCTGACAGAAATATTATTTGGTAGTTACGTTCACTCTACAGACAATATTGTGTAATCTTTTCATAGTAAGAAAAACATTTGTATTTACTAGTTTATGTATAAAGAAGTCTCGCAAAGCTTCTGTCATGGGTTGAATTCTGTCTCCCAGAAATAGGTGTCAAATTGCATGGGCCATGATTCTCTGTGGTTTGGCAGTTAGGTGATGGTGTGATGTGGCAGTTATGTGATGATTCCCTGTGATGTGATCTGATGTAATAAGCCAAGAAATTGATTAAGGGTGGGATGCACCACCAAGAAAGGAGGGCCAGGTGTGGAGTGCTGGCTTTGGACCTCGGTTCCCTGTACTGTGAAGCTCCTGGATCCAGGGAAAGATTGATGTCAGAACACTTGGGAGATCTCTCAGAAGTGTTGGACCTCCAGATCCTGAAAGGAGACCATGAACTTTTCTTCAGAGCTGACAGAAAGCCTTCACCGAGAGCTGGCGCTCTAAATTTGGTTTGGGGCCTCCTAAACTGGAGAATCAATGTTTGTTAAAGCCGTGCACTTGCAGTATCTCTTGCTACAGCAGCACTTGATTAATGAAAGCTAGTAACGGTAGTCAAGTTGTTAAGAGCATTCTGTTTTATTAAGAGACCTTTTACTTTGTGCTTTTTATATTTTAGCATTATGAATATCCCTTACATAAATAAAACTGAATTTCAAAAATAGAGGAGCCTGTGATTTTTATAAACATGGAGGGTATAAATCACCTATAATTTCTTAGAGTTGCCCTTAAACTCACTAAACAAAAATTTTTTGAGAGTTTTGTTTTAAACCACCATGCTTTGTTGATTTAAGAGAGTACGTATATACTCGTGTATAAGCCTTTTTTTAAAAAAAAATCATTTTATTGGGGGCTCTTATAATTCTTATCACAATCCATACACACATCCATTGTGTCAAGCATATTTGTACATTTGTTGCCATCCTCAAAACATTTGCTTTGTACTTGAACCCTTAATATCAGCTCCTCATTTCCCCTCCCTCCCAACTCTCCCCTCCCTTATGAACCCTTGATAACTTAGAAGTTATTATTTTGTCATATCTCACACTGTCCCACGTCTCCCTTCACCCACTTTTCTGTTGTCCATCCCCCAGGAGGAGGTTATATGTAGATCCTTGTAATCGGTTCCCCCTTTCTACCCTACCTTCCCTCCACCCTTCACCACTGGTCCTGAAGGGGTCATCTGTCCTGGATTCCCTGTGTTTCCAGTTGCTATCTGTACATCCTCTGGTCTAGCCAGATTTGTAAGGTAGAATTGGGATCATGATAGTGAGGGGGAAGGGAGGAAGAATTCAAGAAGTAGAGGAAAGTTGTATGTTTCATTGTTGATACCCTGCAACCTGTGTAAGGGTTCCCTACAGATGGCCTTTGAGTCTCCACTCTGCACTCACCCTCATTTACAATTATATGATTTTTTTGTTCTTTGATGTCTGATACCTGATCCCTTCGACCCCTACGCCGAGTTTTAAAGCACATTTTTTAATGCAGTTTTGTTGATAAAATTAGGTGCCTCAGCTGATTCGGGTCGGCTTATATTCAAATATATACGGTAAATGAATTTTTTAAAGATATGTTCCCCCAAAGGTTGTATTTACTTAGGGAGCTAATTTCATGATTAAATCTGGATGTTTTTTGCCTGTTTTTAATAAGTGAGCATTTTAAAGGGTGATTATAAAGCCTTAACATTTGATTCCTTCTATTATTATAGAAGGGAACCTGAAATTCATGCATACAAGAGATGGAGTTTCTGCTCATAAGAAGTGACATTCTAATCCATGTGGTTCTCAACCTTCCTAATGCCGCGACCCTTTAATATAGTTCCTTGTGTTGTGGTGACCCCCAGCCATAAAATTATTTGTGTTGCTACTTCATCACTGTAATTTTGCTACTCTTATGAGTGGGGCAACCCCCAAAGGAGTCACGACCAACAGGTTGAGAACCGCTGAAGTAGAGTCATAGAATTGTCAAGTTCCTGGAACCTTAACATCACTTTGTCCCTAGACCAAAAGGGAGAAGAATCCATTTATTAAAAGTATTTATGCCCTACTAGCCTTGTAGCCATTGGAAAAAGGTTTTTATGTCGCCTTTGAGTAGCCACAAATACCCAGTAATGGGCTGTGGATATCTATTGGGCATCATACAATTTCTCAGTTCTTGGCCTCAGACTGGCACTGTTTACACATTAAGTTTTTAAACACAATTTATTGATTTTCTTCTAGCAATATGCTGCCAACTAGCATTCTACTCGTGTATTGTTAGAAACAAAAGGATATTTCCTTGACATTTTCAAGTGATGCATTATTCAAAAGTTGGAAATTAAAATGCACCCTGATTATGTAAACTGGTAATTATTTAAGTGTAACTAATTATTTGGTTCCTTCATAGAATTGAAATCTATATCTTTTTCTTGATAGTGTTGAGGTTATCAGGAGTGCGCAGTGGGGTACATATACTTTTCATCGAGAACGGTATGTAGCCCACACCAGGCAAGCAATGAGTGCAGAACCAACGGGTGATAGAAGGCATGCTTCAAATACAAGGCAGCCCCTCAGCCTATCATATTACTTAGGCTTGCCTTAGTTATGGCATTCAGTATTAATTACACATAACTTAAAAAAATTAATCCTAGGTTGCCATTTGGTTTGTATCAGGAGAAAGTGAGCCTCCAAGGCCAGTCATTGCCTCAAGTCAGTGCATCGTATATTTCACAGGGACTTTCCCACGCCCGGCGATGCCTCTTCTACAGTCTGTGCCAGATGGTGGTGCAGTGCTAGGGTCACTCTGGCCTGTGGTTTCCCCTCTTGTTCTTTCTCTGGATTCGTTGTTCCTCTCTGTGGCCATCCATTTTAGTTAGCCATATGTTCTTTCAGGATAGCCTCAGCTCCATGAGGAGAAGTTCTGGAGATGGAAAATCCAAGGGAGGGAGAGTGCGAATTGGAATTCCCAGCATTTGTTGCCTTTCCCAGTATTTGGAAACTTCTGCCAGGTAGAAGAGGCTGTAGCAGTTTCTGAATGTGGTGGCAAACTCCATCACTCTGATTTTCTACAAAATCAGTGTCTACATCCAGCGCCTTTGCTATTGGCCCTTTTAGAAATCTGGCCATTTCTGCTTTCAGTTCATTTTCTTTCCTCACTCTCACGTGCCTCTTCAAATCAGCAATTTTAGTTGCCCGCTCCTCTATAATTGTTTGATCATCTTTATATATATCTAAGGGGCTTTGCTTCCGATACATGGCTCTGCTGGCTTACTCTTCTGCCGAAGTAAAAACAGTAGCATGTAGGATCCCTGTGAAAGACGCCCTGAACTTCGGGCAGGCGTCTTTCTGGGGACGGGCTGTGAGATGCTTGGAGGTGGGTGGCTACATCCGTGTCTGTTCTAAGGGCTTTCCTCTTCCTGCATGCTTTGCCCTCTTCCACCTCTCCTGGATGAGGTGTTTCATGTGGCTATTTGCAATTCCAGGGATAAATGGGCCTGCTCAAACTATATGCACTTCATGGCTTCAGAAAGATAGGAAGCAGCTTTTTGTGTGTGATAAAAACTAGCCTCTAGGTATTTCCCTGTAGCTAGTAAGAGGTCTGTTCGTCTGCTCTGCTGATGAACAGTAGAGTCGAAATGCTCTCTAGGGCTTCCGAGGTAGTCGTTCTTTAGAACCCATATGTGTGCCTTCCTAGTATTCGGATGCCCCTTCCTCATTTAGGGGCTGAAAATTGAGGCACGGGAATTCTGTTCCAGGCCTAAAGGGTGACTAAGAGCCGTGGTCCTAGGGGCTCCACCAGTCTCGATCCAACTAGTAAGCCTGGTCTTTGATCATTTTGAGCTTTGTTTTACATCTTTCTCCCAATCTACCCAGGAATTTCTAATGTGACCTGAGATAGTTTATCGTGCCAGCCTGGCCGATAAACACATGTGGGGTTAATTGAAGGGGGGAGAGATAAATGACTCAGTGAGCCTCGCCTTTCTTGTCTCTCGCTCTTTGATCATTGGACCA